GGGGGGGGGGGCGTTCACGACCCGTCTCACTCGACTCGACCTTTGGCCCGCCTTGATCTCGACACACGCCAGTACGCGAAGCAATGACGAAAAAAAAAAAAAGACGGAAATTGGAAACACACGCCTTTGACGCAGCCTGGAAATTGTTCGCGTATGACTGGAATATTGAGTCGGGTGGCAGCAGGTAACTTCCCCGTTATCCTCGAACAGCTTCAGGGCGCATCGAATGCAGGAAGGAAGGAAAGGGGCTCAGAAACAAGAATTGCAGAACAAAAGTAAGCGGAGGGTACACTGTTAAATTCCTGCAAAGCAACGCTTTGCAGAGCTCTGTTGCAGAACTGCGAAGTATTCAGTTCCTTCGTAACTACGAAGCATTGACTTTACAATTACAAAGTGATGCTTTGCAATTGCAAAGCGATGCTTTTTAGCGTGATTTCATTGCTTCGCAATTGCAAAGCATCACTTTGTAATTTCAAAGTAGATGCTTCGTAATGACAAAGGATCTAAATACTTCGCAGTTCTGCAAAGCGTTACTTTGCAGGATTTAAACAGTGTAGGGTTGCTTTGACTCTGATCGGTTTCCTTTTTCTGGTTTTGAATATTAACAATATAATCTGAGCAAGTAGGAAACGATTATCAACATTTTCGTAACAAATAATGATTATGTATAATAAACAATATATGTATAATAAATCATACATGTATATTAAAAATAAAGTGCTTCTCAGAGGGATTTGTTTTAGCCGGCTTGGTTCTCTAGGGTAAACAGCAGCATAAATTCATTAGCTGTTTCGCTGTGGACTTTTGCAGCGGCCGACGACGCAGCTTTCAGCTCCAACGGTTTTTGTCCGTCCCTCTTCAGTCTCGCGGTCGCCCCACCCCCACCACGGACACACACACACACACACACGTGCGCAGAGAGAGAGGGGGAGAGAGAGAGAGAGAGAGAGAGAGAGAGAGAGAGAGAGAGAGAGAGGAGGAGGAGATGGGCCCTTTGCCGAAACACATGACGCACTCCGTGGTGGAGTGGAGTAAGAAGTGTGTGCTGCGTGTGCGTGTGTGAGTGTGTGCGTGCGTGAGTGTGTGTGCGCGCGCGCGCGTGTGTGTGTGTGTGTGTGTGCAAAAGAAAAGGAGCGGTCGGCGGCCAGCGCGCACGCGTAGCAAAGGCGACGAACAGGGGAGTAATGGCGCACCGACTTACACTAACATTAACACTGCTATAAAAACGAAAAAAATACAATAAATCGTCCCAATTAGAATTTGTTATAAAAAACGTTTTCTACAAACGTTTTGAAAATTTGCGAGCAGAGCGGCCAAGGCTTCGGCATTATTAATAGGAATCTGTTTAAACCGGTTTACACATTTTCCGAGAAAATATTGAATTTCCGGAGGACAAATTAGAAGTGTACGGAATTTCCTTTAAAATAATCAAAGTGATTTCGTGAAACAATTTCACGCACACGCGTTTCAACCACGATTTTCGCGCACTGTTAAAACCGTACGAAGCAAAATGCCAAATCCTTCGTAGGTACGAAGGATTTGGAAGCTTCGTAGGTAGCAAATCCTACGTAGGTACGAAGGATTTGGCATTTCGCTTCGTAAGGTTTTAACTGTGCGCTAACCTTCCCTCGCGAGTTATTTCCTAATTACGTTATTTTACATGGGCGAGTGGAGACGCCCTGCAGCGCAAAGGCCCCCCGTCCGCCTCACACCTGAGTGTGCACCGACGTGAAATAGAGGGGAGAGACGAGAGAGAAATAGGAGGACGGGGTGGTCCTGCATCACTCGGCTCGTCCAGTTTCCTCTCTTTGGCCCTGAGGCACTGCGGCGTGTAAGAACGCCCCGACCGCCCCACCCCGCCCCGCCCCGCCCCGCC